TGCTCTAATTCAGATTTAGGATCTTGCACTTGGTCCTGTTGACCTTCATGACAGTCACACTACCCCATATCCCCAGCCTGTCAAGAACTCTCCAGATGCCATCCCTTCCCTCCAGACAATCAACCACATCTTGATGTCATTCCTAGTCTTGCTGAGGGGACATTCAGTTTCACTGTCCCTGTGCCTGACAAAGATGGGAAGCGATAATGGTCCCAGTATGAGCCTCTGTGGGTCACCACTCACCCCTGTTCTCCTCACAGACATGGAGCTGTTGACCACAACTCCCAATGGTGAGACCATCCCACCCATTTTCCACCCCACAGCTGATGTTCCAGCTATCAACTCCACATCTCTCCAGGTCAGAGATAAGGATGTTGTCTGCCACAGGAAGAAATGCTTTGTACAAGTCCTTGTACCTGATATCAGTTCCTCTTCCATCATTCACCAGTGTTGGAACTCCTTCAAACTTTTCAGGAAGAATTTGACCTTCATGAAAATGGGAACAGGAGCAGGGAAATGGTGAGCCAGGCCTTTGGAGTCTTGAGCTGTGGCAAGTGCCCAGAGCTGAGGCCACTTCTCTTGGAGGATTTCCCTTGAGGAAATGGTGCTTGGCTGAGCTCTGTGTCTGCTCTGTCCCGGTGACTCAGCTTGGGCATGAGGAGAGAGCTTTGGCTGCTGCTGAACTCAACCCTTTTGTGAAGCCTTTGAGACTCCTTCCCATTCTACACTTCCAGGGCATCTGAGCAAGCCCAGGTTGCCTGAGAGTGCAGTGAGTGGCCTGGGAGCAGCTGGGAAGCTGGTCCCAGAGGCTGGGGATCAGTGGCCCAAAGTGCAAATGGAGGAGAGTCTCCAGTACTGCAGCCCTGGAGCTGGATCCATGGGGCCAACTCTGTTCAATATCCTAAATAATGAGCTGGGCAGTGGGACTGTTGTCAACTCAGACACAGCAATCTCAGTAATGGATATTGGATAGGTAATGAGTTGATTGAGAGCATGCCCAAGGAGAAGGACTTGGGGTGTTGGTGGATGAAGAATTGTTCATGCCTTGGCCATGTGCACTCAAATACCAAAATGTTGCTGCTGGAGATGATTAGGTCACATGAACACAGCTCGAGGTGTGGTGAAAGGAAGAGAGAGCTTTATTTCTTCTCCCAGAATTTATAGGTTTCTGACCACAGCCAGGGATTGAATAGTCAGGATAACACCTTCCCAACCGCACTGGCCATGAGAGATGTCCATGACAAGACATGTATCAGAAATAATGTACACGTATCTATGTTTACAGTTACTGTCCTGGGAAAGTCTTTAGAAAACTATGTCAGCAAGCTCAGAAGCTGAGTTTTCAGGACGACACCAAAACCCCTCCATGTCCTGGGCTCATTGCCACAGCATGGGCAGCAAGTGAGGGGGCGATTCTGACCCTCTGCTCTGCTCTTCAGAGACCAGAGACATGCTCAACTCTGAGCACCCAATGATATGGAAGAAATGGACCTGCTGAAGCAGAGCTGTAGGTGGGCCAGGAAGGTGATGAGGATCTGGAGCAACTGGTGTGCAGCCAAAGTGAAAACAAGACCCACTCATGGTTTGTATCATAGGCAGGGATAGATCTGCATTAGTGTATCCAGGCCTGGACTCAAGCAACGGAAATGTATGTGGAATGCACTAGAAAGGCAAACTGTGACAGTGTGTGCCAGTGAAGGAAAAGGAGACATCTGAGGCTGCAATGCAAGAGAATTTTATTGAGCTAAAAGAGGAGTGGAAGGCCATGAGCATCCACTGAAATAAAGTAGTCTGAGGAGCAAGTACAACAACCATTGGCCAAGCTCCTTTGCTTGCAAGCAGTTAGGCCAGAGCATCAAGGCCTTCCTGCCCCACGGTGGGAGCAGTCCACTGGAGGTGCCCAACTTTCTCTGTCTTGGGAGAAGTGGTTTGCAGCACAGGAGACTGGAAAGAGTGAAAGGGGTGATGCAGAGCACAGAGTGGGAAAAGAGTAGGAGGCAGATGGGCCATGATTGCAGGCAGCCCTGACTGGACCCTTGTCTGCTGTCTTGCTTGGTGCCCTGAGAGCAGGAGCTGGAACCGCTCTGAGTCCATCTGAGAGCCTTGGACCAGACAGGTGCCCTCAATGCCTGAGATGTGTTCCAGGGTGCTGGGTGTTGGTGTCAGGGTTGCTGCCGAGGGCCCTCAGCAGATGTAGCCACCCCTTCTGCCATAGCAGCCCAGGCCTCCCAGCCCATAGCCAAATCCACGGCCATAGCCAAGGCCGTAGCCAAAGCCACCAAATCCACCAGAGATGGGCTGTCCCTGCACACTGAGTTCAGTGCCCACGGCAGCCGAGGAGGTGGATCCAACGGCAGTGTTCTGGGGGAAGGAGGTCATGATGGGTCCTGGCAGGGTGACCAGCACAGGGGAAGGGTTGATGATGACACGGGAATCCTGGCATTGCAGGGCACAGGGCTCGTTGCAGCTGTTGGCCAGCGGGGTGGGTCCACAGGGACGGCAGGAGTCGTAGCAGGCCATGGGTGTGGAGTGGAGGGTCCCTGGAAGAGAGGGGTGTGAGGCAGGGCGGGGATGTGGGGGTGCAAGGGTCAGTGTTACAGGAGGGTGAGGGAGTGTGGAGGCTGTTGTGGGGCTGTGGGGAGGTGTGAGGGCTGCTGAGGCTGGGGCTGAGTGTGCTGGCAGAGAGGGCCCAGGGGTGCAGGAGCAGAAGGGTCAGGGTGTGAGACTCACCTGGTTGTTAGCAGGAGCAGGTGGAGAAGGTGTGAGGAGGAGTGTGTGAGGGAGAGAGGCTGTGGGCTGGCTTTTATGCTGGTCCTGGAGGGGCGGGACAGCCTTATCCCATGGCCCTGGGGCATTTTTTAGGCTGCAGCCCTTTGCTGGCCCAGTCCGGTGAGTCATTGTGTGTGGAGTGTTTTCCTTCACGAAATTCTGCAGTTTCATGTTCTGCGCTTGAGGCCAAATCCATCTGACCTTGGCAGCAGCTTTCAATCGGGAGTTGGTCTTTGGGAGAATTCGATTGCTACATACATGTCTGGGAAGGCTGAATAAACAAGCAGAGACAAGCAGAGTTGAAATGTCACCAGTGAGATAATTTTGTAGCACTTGCGTGCTGTAGTTTGTGTTTGCCTTGGGCTTCTCTTCTGTGCTACTGGATGTCCATCAGTCATTGTATTGCACCCAGGAATGCTGAGGGAGCTGCTGATGTCCTGGGGAGGTCATGCTGCAATAGCTTGGAATGGTCCCAGTGCCTGGGAACTCTTCCTGACGGATGAAAGAGAGCTCATGGCCTTGTGTTTTGAATCAGATCAAGAGAGGATATTGGAAAGTAGAAGCTGTTCAGGCTTAACTTGTTCCAATGTTTTAGTCCATTTTGATTTCTAAAATTACCCAACAAGCTATTCTATCATTTAAAGTGTATCTCTTGACCTCATTTAGAAATCTAAAAAAAAAACAATAAATGCAGGCCCATCTCTTTTTCCCAGCCTGGTGTGTGATGTCAATTCTTTTATTCCACGTTCAAGCCAAAGGGTTTCATAACTTTTATTCCATCAGTCTTAATATTATGATCCTATTAGTAAAAAAGAGTAATTACAAGTGGACAGTTAGTGAGTTGCTCTTTCCTCCTCTGTCATGGTGCTGGCATTCCTTTGTTGGATTCTGCGATTCCACGTCCTTCTGTTGAGTCTGTGTCGATCTGACCTTGTCAGATGCTTTTAAGTGTGAGTATTAGAGGTTAAATGCTTGATGGTTTATGTCAGGATGGGTTGAAGACATGACCAAAGCTTTGTGGAGATGGGATGTCATCAGTGAGGTCACCCCATGGCACTGGTGTGCTGCGTTTTGTGTGTATGTGGTGAAGAAGGACTCCATTTCCTCACAGAAGTTTCAGGCTGCTCTAAGCTTTGCAGGTGTTCTGGGGATGATCTTCTGCCCCTTTGATCACGTTCTTTTCCTCCCTACCTTGGCTACATCTCTTCAGGCTTGTCTATATTCCTGGCTTTTGCCATTGGAGATGGGAAAGCAATCCACATGACTTAAGGAGATGTCCTATGGTCCTCAGTCTTGTGTTGATTCATCCATAGCGCTTGTCTCAGCTGGGCTCAGCAAGATCACACTGTGGGGTCACAGTGCTGGGCTGTGATGGACACGTGGAAAGGAAACCTCATGGAGGATAAGGAGAAGAAGCATGAGGGGAACAATTACTCAGCCATTGATAAGACAACCCTTCAAACCCACGTGTCTGCAGTTTAGAGATAAGGAAGTCCAGTGGGACTGTGTTAAGGCCCTGATACAAGGCACATGACATTGATTGCCATTCCCTTGTCAACAATAACATTTGAGCAGGGAAGGACCTTGTGATCCTGAAGGAGCATAAATGGATCATGAGGTGGCCATGTACCCTCTGACGTAAAAAAGTCCAGCAATTACCAGGAGAGGATTAGGAAATACATAATAGGAAAAGTAATACAAGGAGGATGAGGAAGCTGACCATCTTGTTGTGCCCCACTGGTGGGCTGCAGAATGCAATAAGAACATGGACATGGTTGACCAAGAGCAGTGCCAGGAGAGCATGACACTGAGGGGACTGGAGTACCCTTAAAACAGGGAGAAGTTGACAGATTTGGGGGTTATTTCAGGCAGAAGAAGGCAAATGGGAAATGAGGTCAATATGCCATGGCATGTTCTCATTGATGACACATCAGTTCTCCTCAGGGTTGTTTGAATCTTCTATGTGTCCTGAAAGGCACCAACAACAAGATAATGGACACTAATTCTTGCAATTAAAAGCTGCCGCCAAGGTCAGATGGACACGACCTCAAGGGCAGGACATGGAATTACAGATTTGCATGAAAGAAAATACTGCCGACCTCATGACTCACCAGGCTAGGCCAGCAAAGAGCTGCTGCCTAAAAAATGCCCCAAGGCCATGGGACAAGGCTGTCCCGCCCTTCCAGGACCAGCATAAAAGCCGACCCAGAGCTTCCCTCCCTCACACACTTCTCCTCACACCTTCTGCTCCTGCTAACAACCAGGTAAGCCTCAAACCCCTGACCCTCCTGCTCCTGCACCCCTGGGCCCTCTCTCCCTGCATGCTCAGCCCCAGCCTCAGCAGCCCTCACACCTCCTCACTGCCCCACAACAGCCTCCACACTCCCTCACCCTCCTGTAACACTGACCCTTGCACCCCAACAACCCTGCCCTCCCATACACCCTTCTCTTCCAGGGACCCTCCACACCACACCCATGGCCTGCTACGACTCCTGCCGTCCCTGCGGACCCACCCCGCTGGCCAACAGCTGCAACGAGCCCTGTGCCCTGCAATGCCAGGATTCCCACGTTGTCATTAACCCTGCCCCTGTGCTGGTCACCCTGCCAGGACCCATCATGACCTCCTTCCCCCAGAACACCGCCGTTGGATCCACCTCCTCGGCTGCCGTGGGCACTGAACTCAGTGTGCAGGGACAGCCCATCTCTGGTGGATTTGGTGGCTTTGGCTACGGCCTTGGCTATGGCCGTGGATTTGGCTATGGGCTGGGAGGCCTGGGCTGCTATGGCAGAAGGGGTGGCTACATCTGCTAAGGGTCCTCAGCACCAACCCTGACACCAACTCCCAGCGCCCTGGAACACATCTCAGGCATTGAGGACACCTGTCTGGTCCAAGGCTCTCAGATGGACTCAGAGCGGTTCCAGCTCCTGCTCTCAGGGCACCAAGCAAAGCAGCAAACAGGATGCCTGTCTGGGCTGTCTGAAATCATGGTCCATCTGCCTCCTGCTTTTCTCCCACTCTGTGCTCTGCATCGCCTCTTCGGCTCTGTTCATTCCCCTCTGCTGAAAACTGCTTTTTCCAAGTCAATCAGGCACCTCCAGTATCAGGCTCCTCCCACTATGGGACAGGAATTCCTTGATGCTCTGGCCAACCCACCTGCAAGCAAAGAGGCCTTGGCCAATGGTTGCTCTGCTTGTACCTCAGCTAGGCCTCTTCCACTTGCTGCTCATGATTTTCTCTTCATGCCTCAATAAAATTCTTTTGCATTGCAGCATTGTGAAGCGTCCTCTTCCTTCACAGGCACACACTGGCACACTTTGGTCTTCCAGTGCATCCCATAAACCTTTCACTTGCTTGACCCCAGGCTGGGATATAGTAATGCAAATCTATCCCTGCCTCTGACAGAAGCCATGTATGGGTTCACAATGGCTGGACACCAGTTGCTCCAGACCCTCATCATCTTCCCTGTCCATCTACAGCTCTGCTTGAGCATGTTCACATCTTCTGAATACACATCTCCAGTCTCAGAAGAGCAGAGCAGAGGGACAGAATTCCCCTCTCACCTGCTGCCCATGCTGTGAGGAGGAGCCCAAGACACATGGGCTTTCTGATCTGTGACTGTTCATGGCCGAGGAACATTCAGTTCTTCATCCACCAACATCCCAGGTCCTTCTCCTCTAGGCTGCTCTCAACTGTCTCATTGTCCAGTCCATGGTCATGTTTGACACTGCTCCAAACCAAATGCAGGAGCTTGCATTTGGCCACATTCAGCTACATGAAACGGACAATATCCCACTGTCCCAACCCATTCTAGCCCCTCTGGAAGCCATCCCTTCTCTCCAGACAGCCAACAGCACTACTCAGCTTGTCCTGGTCTCAGATTTTGCTGAACATTTCACTCAATCCCACTGCCCATGTCCCTGACAAAGATGGGAAATTATACTGGTCCCAATAGGAGCTTCTGCCTGTCACCAGTCATCCCTTTTCTCCATACACACAGAGACGGTGACCATAACAGCTTGACTTAGACTGTCCTCTATGATACTTTGTCCTCTTTGAATGGACATCCCATCCATTCCTTATCCACCACATGGCCCAAACACAACTCCACATCGTTCCAGACTGAATATGCAGGTGCCTACTGGTACAGGAACAAAGGCCATGCTTAAGTCCAGGTATGTGATATTGTTCCCTCTCCCCTCATCCAACAAGCCTGGAACCAATACCAGCTTATTAAGAGATGCCACCAAGGTCAGACAGACACAACCCCAATAGCTGGACAGTATACCAGAGAGCTGAGGGAAGCAAAACACTGCCCACCTTATGATTTGCCAGATGTGCTGCCTGAAAAAAATGTCCCGATGTCATGGCCAATGGCTGTCCCAAACCTTCAGCCCCTGATCATCCTCAAGGTCATACTCTGGATGTTATCCAGCAGAATCTTGTCTTCCTTACTCCCAGTAACCCAAAGATAAACACAGTTCTCTGGTATGAGCAAAGAAGTGCAGAGGGGCAGAATCTCCCTCACCTGGAATGGAGCAATGCCAAAAATGCAGGACACAGGCTGAGAGATGAGGGGATCAAGAGCAGCCTCAAGGAGGAGGACTTGGGGTGTTGGATGAAGAACTGGATGTGTTCCAGCCGTGTGCACTCACCAGCCAGAAACCCCCTGTATCTTGGGATCATCCGCACAGTGTGGGCAGCACAAGAGAGTGGGGGAATCTCACTCTGCTCTCCTGTACTTAGACCAGAGTTCTGTTTTGAACTCTGAGCTCCCAAAGACAAGGAAGATGGTGAAAATCTCCCAAAGCCTGGAAGATGATGAGGGTCAGAAGCAACTGCTCTCCAGCCAAAGGGAACAAACAACCTGGAAGATGATGAGGAGCCTGTGCCAGAGGCAGGGATAAATCTGCATTAGTGAATCCAAGCCTGTGATTTAGTATCCGACGGTCTGATGGAATGCACTGGAAGAGCAAAGTGTGCCAGTGGGTAAGAGAACTGGAGAAGTAACACATAAAAGTGGTCTGGGAGCACTTTTCCACCCATCCCCATGGTCACTACAACCCTGGCATAGCACAGAGCAGGGTTTGGAAGAGTCTAGGGAGAAGAAAATAGAAGGACTCATGAAGCTATGATGCAGGAAAACTTTATTGAGTAAAATAAGGTGCTTTGCTTGCAGGAGGTTGTGCCAGACTTTGTGCCTTGCAGAAGGAGCAGCCCAGCAGAGGTGTCTCACAGTCTCTGTCTTGGGAGAAGTGGATTGCAGCACAGGAGACTGCACATAGGCAAAGGGGTGATGCATGGGAGGGAATGGAAGGAGGAGAGAGATGGGCAATGTTTGTAGTCAGCCTGGGCTGGACCCTTGGCTGCTGCCTTGCCTGAGATGTGTTCCAGGGAGTGAGAGGCTCATGTCAGGGTTTTTGCAGAGGGCCCTTAGCAGATGTAGCCACCCCTTCTGCCATAGCAGCCCAGGCCTCCCAGCCCGTAGCCACAGCCCAGCCCATAGCCAAATCCACGGCCATAGCCAAGGCCGTAGCCAAAGCCACCAAATCCACCAGAGATGGGCTGTCCCTGCACACTGAGTTCAGTGCCCACAGCAGCCGAGGAGGTGGATCCAACGGCGGTGTTCTGGGGGAAGGAGGTCATGATGGGTCCTGGCAGGGTGACCAGCACAGGGGAAGGGTTGATGACAACGTGGGAGTCCTGGCATTGCAGGGCACAGGGCTCGTTGCAGCTGTTGGCCAGCGGGGTGGGTCCGCAGGGATGGCAGATGTTGTTGCAGGCCATGGGTGTGGTGTGGAGGGTCCCTAGAAGAGAGGGGAGTGAGGCAGGGCAGGGGTGAGGGGTGCAAGGGTTGGTGATGCAGGTGGGTGATGGAGCGTGGAAGCTGTTGTGTGGTTGTGGGGAGGTGTGAGGGTTGCTGAGTCTGGGGCCGGGCATGCTGGAAGAGAGGGCCCAGGGGTGCAGGAGCAGGAGGGTCAGGGGTTTGAGGCTCACCTTGTTTTCAGCAGGAGCAGGAGAAGAAAGTGTGAGAAGTGTGTGAAGGAGAGAGGCTGTGGGCCGGCTTTTATGCTGGTCCTGGAGGGGCGGGACAGCCTTGTCCCATGGCCCTGGGGCATTGTGCAGGCAGCAGTTCTTTGCTGGCCCAGCCTGGTGAGTTATGAGGTGGGGAATGTTTTCCTTTCCACAGCTCTGCAGTGTCATATCCAGCTCTTGAGGTCGGGTTCTTCTGACCTTGGCAACAGCTTTATGAGATGATATTTAGGTGGATTTGATAGATGTGAGTCAGGGAGGGCTAAATTTACCAGAGCCCAGCAGAAATGCAATGTCATCAGTGCAGTCGTTTCGTGGCACTTGTGTGCTGTGGTTTGTCAGTGCCTTGTGAAGACTGGGCTCCTCTTGTGTGCCACTGGATATCCATCAGTCATTGTGTGGGACCCAGAAATGTTGAGGGTGTTTCTGATGGCCTTGGGACATCACTGAGCAGTATCTTGGAAAGGTCCCAGTGCCTGTGAGTAGTTCCTGATTTATGAAATAAAGTCCCTGTGCTTGTGTCTTGTATGTGAGCAAGAGGGAGAATCTGGAAAATGTGAGGCTGTTTAGGTGGAACTTGTTCCATTTTTATCATCCATTTGGATTTCTGAAATTTACTCGACCATATACACCGTCAATTAATGTGTATTTGTTGGCCTCATTCAGAAATCCTATAAATAAAAAGAAACCAGGCTTGATCCCTTTTTTTCCCAAAGTGATCTGTGTCGACAATTTACTTTTTTCTGCATTCAAACCACAAGGTGTCATAACTTATAATCATAAGTATTAATGTTTTGTTCCTGTGAGCAAAGCCCAATAATTAGTCATGGACAGTCAACAAGCTCCTCTTTCCTTCTTTGCCATGGTTTGGTTGTTCCTTTGTGGAATTATGCAATTTCATGTTCTGCTCCTGAGGCCATCTCCACCTGACCTTGGTGATAGTTTTCAGTTTCGAGAATTAGTGACCAATGTGTTGTTGGTGGTGGTGCATGCCAGGACATGTAGAAGATTCAAGTAAAGCTTACAAGGTGTCGTCAGTGAGATCATTCCATGGCGTATTGTGTCCTATTTGCATTCTTGCCACCTTCCTGGAAGAACTCCCAGTTCTCTCAGCTTCTTCTCATCTTAAGGATACTCCAGTCCCATCAGTGTCATGGTGGCCCTGCACTGCTCTTGGTCAACCATGTTCATGTCCATGTGGCCTCATCTGAGGTGAGGAACAGGATGTTCAACTCCCTCAACTTTCCTGTATTTCTCTTCCTAATCCTGTCTCGGTAACTGCGGGAGCTTTTTACCGTAAAGGGTACATGGTGATCTCAAGATCCATTTCAGTTCCACCAGGAACAGAAGGTCCTTCTCTTCTAGAGCACTTTGGTTGCCAAGGGAAGGGCAACTGGTGTCATCCTGAACTTTTCTAGGGCTTTAACACAGTCCCACATAACATCTTTATCTCTAAACTGTAGACACGTGGGTTTCAAAGGTGGAATAATGAATGAGGAACAGCCAGAGAATGATGTCAATGGCTCTGTGTACAGGTGGAGGCCAGTGACAAGGCCTTGAATTGGTGATCTTGAATACCTTTATCAAGGGCATGAGCAGTGAGATCAAGACCACCCTCGGCATGTTTGCAGGTGTCAGGAAGCTGAGTGTTGCAGTTGACACAAGAACATGGAGGGATCCCATCAGGAGGGACACTGGGAATGGTGAGAATGTAAGAGCCTCATGAGCTTCAACAAATACAAATTCAAGGTCCTGCACCTGGGTTGCAACAGTCCCAGACATAAGTACAGCTTGGCAGAGGAAATCCTTAGGAGCAGATCCACAGAGAAAGACCTGAGGGTGCTGGTGGACCAAAATCTTGACAGGAAACAGGAATGTGAATTTTCAGCCCAGAACACCAACCACATACTGGGCTGCAGAGAAAGAAGTGTAGCCGCAGGAATGGCTGGACATCAATTGGAGATGTGAGAATTATTGTCATGGCAGAGATCAAACAGATCAAGAGATGGCCATGCATCCTTGCAGTAAAAGAACTTCTGAAAAAGTCTTTCTATCAGACTGACACTTCCTTTCTCCTCAGACATAAGGATATTTGATTTAGGGTGATGTGTTGGTGTCTACAGTGGAAGAAGACATGGACTTTGTGAAGCAAGAACAGTACAGGAGCAGCAAGAGCTTGAGAGGACCAAAGAATCATTATGATTAGAAATGGGATCCATGTGGGGTTTATTTCTATGAGAAGGGAAAAGCGGACAAAGGAGATGTGAGTGTTCCATGGCATGACCTCACCCATAACACCCCAATTCTTGTGGGCTTTGTTGTCATCTTCTACATGCCTGACACAAAACAATGATACCAATCCTTTGGCCTATACTCCTCAAAATTAAAAACTGCCATGAAGGTCAGATGGACACAGTCTCTAAAGAAGGACACAGAATCACAAAATTCCACAAAGACACACCAGCACCATAACAAAGGAGGAAATAGCATCACAATGACCATCCAGTAGCAATTAGCGTTTTTTCCTAACAGGATTAAAATATTACGACTGACAGGATATAAATTATGAAACAATATGGGTTGAATGAGGAACATAAACAAATTCACGTCACAGACCAGACTGGGTAAGACATGATCAAGCATCATTGGCCACTTGTTTATTTGATTTCTTAAAGAGGTGAACAAATACACTTTAAATGACAGAGTACATTCCCACGGAATGATGAGAAATCCAAATAGACCACAGCACTAGAACAAATTCAACTTAACCAGGCTCTAATTTCCAGACCATCTCTCTTGATCCCACACAAGAAACAAGGGCATGGTGTCTCATTCATCCATCAGGAAGAGCTCCCAGGCATGGGGACCTTTCCAAGCAATTTCAGGGTGACCTCCCCAGGACATCAGCAGCTCCCTCAGCATTCCTGGGTGTAACACAATGACTGAAGGACATGCAGCGGCACAGGAGCCCAGTCTCCACAAGGCACCGACAAAACACAGGACATGTGCTACAAAATTAGCTCACTGATGACATAGCATTTCTGCTGGGCCACGGTTGTTTATTCAACCCTCCCTGACTCACATCTAACAATGAAATACTCCCAAATACAAATGCAATGAAGTTGCTGCCAAGGTCAGAAGGACACAGCTTCAAGAATTGGACATGCAATTGCAGAACTACATGAAAGAAAACACTTCCCAGCTCATGATTCCCCAGTCTGCCGAAACAAGGGCTGCTGCCCACAAAATGTCCCAAGGCCATGGGACAAGGCTGTCCCACCCTTCCAGGACCAGAAAAAAAGCGGGCCCAGAACTTCTCTCCCTCACACACTTCACCTGATGCCTTCTCCTCCTGCTCCTGCTGAAAACCAGGTGAGCCTCAAACCCCTGACCCTCCTGCTCCTGCACCCCTGGGCCCTCTCTGCCAGCACCCTCAGCCTAAGAGGCCATCACACCTCCCCACAGCGCCACAACAGCCTCCACACTCCCTCACCCTCCTGCATTACCAACCCCTGCATCTCTCACCCCTGCCCTGCCTCACTCCCCTCTCTTCCAGGGACCCACCACACCACACCCATGGCCTGTTACGAATCCTGCCGTCCCTGTGGACCCACCCCGCTGGCCAACAGCTGCAACGAGCCCTGTGCCCTGCAGTGCCAGGATTCCCGTGTCATCATCAACTCTTCCCCTGTGCTGGTCACCCTGCCAGGACCCATCATGACCGCCTTCCCCCAGAACACCACCGTTGGATCCACCTCCTCGGCTGCCGTGGGCACTGAACTCAGTGTGCAGGGACAGCCCATCTCTGGTGGATTGGGTGGCTTTGGCTATGGCCTTGGCTATGGCCGTGGATTTGGCTACGGGCTGGGCTGTGGCTATGGGCTGGGAGGCCTGGGCTGCTATGGCAGAAGGGGTGGCTACATCTGCTAAGGGCCCTCAGCACCACGCCTGAAATCTTGCTCCCACTGTGGGACAAAAAGGCACTGATGATCTGGCAAAACCTCCTCCAAGCAAAGGACTCGTCTGATGATCACCCTACTTGCACTTCAGCTTGCCTCCCATCCACTTGCTGCTTATGGCCTTTCAGTCTTCCACCTCAATAAAGTTTTCTTGCATCACATCTTAAGATGAGTCCTTCTTCTTTCTGATCCCAAGACACTTCCAGTCTCACTCAGGACAAAGCCGGGGTTCCACACTCTACTGGGGTGGGTTAAAAAATGCTTTAGGATTTATTTCCCCATTCTACTACCAACTGGCACACCTTGCTCTTCCAGTACATCCCACAAATCCATCAGCTACTGGATCACAGACCTACACTAAGGCAGATCAATCCCTGCCTCTGGCTCAAGCCTCTCTGGCTGGTGTGTTCACTTGTGCTGGGCAGCAGTTGCTTCTGTCCCTCATCATCTTCCTGGCCCATCTACAGATCCAACGAAGCAGGTACCACGTCTTCCTTGTCACTGGGGGCTCAGAGTTCTACACCAAATTCTGGTACAGGAGAAGAGAGGGTGAGATTCCCCCACTCTCTTGTGCTGCCCACACTGTGGGAATGAGCCCAGGATACAGGGAGTTTCTGGTCGGTGAGTGCACATGTCCAGGGAATGTCCAATTCTTCATCCACCAACACCCCAAGTCCTCCTCCTTGGGACTGCTCTCAATCCTCTCATCTTCCTGTCTGTATCCTGCATGTTTGGGATTGCTCCCATCAAGCAGATTCTGCCTCTCTGCTCCTCTCTGGTGGCACTGGAGAGCTCTGTTAATCTCTGGGTTATTGGCAATAAGGAGAACAAGACTCTGGCTTGGAAGATCCAGAGAACAGCCTTGAGGGTTATCCCTGGCTGAAGCTTTGGGACAGCCATTGCCCATGACATTGGGACATTTTTCAGGTTACCTGCTCGTGCCTGGTACAGACGGGTGAGTCATGAGGTTGGGACTCTTTTGCTTCCCACAGCTCTGAAATTCCAGGTTCTGCTCTTGAGGCCATGTCCATCTGACTCTGGCGACAGCTTTAGTGGGTTGGAACTGGTTCCAGAATGGGTGGATGAGGGAAGGTAGACCAATAGCCTGTACCTGGACTTGTGCAAAGCTTTTGTTCCTGTGCCAGACAGTATGCTTGTCTCTAACCTGGAGAGATGAGGAGTTGATGGTTGGAACTCTGGCTGGATAAGGAATGGACGGGATGGTCTCATTCAAAACTTGTGATCAATGGCTCCATGGCCCTGTGTCGAGAATAGGGATGAATGGTGACCCACAGAGACTCATACTGGAACCATTATAACTTCCCATCTTTCTCAGGGACATGGAGAGTGGGCTTGAGTGCCCCCTTGGCAAGACTGGGGATGACACCAAGGTGAGTGGTGTGGTTCATGGTCTGAGGCAAGGGATGGCATCCAGAGGGTTCTGGAAAGCCTGGGGAGGTGCGCTAGTGTGAAGCTCATGAAGGTCAACAGGGCCAAGAGGAAGCATTGGATCAATCAGAGTAATGAATGATGGATGGGCGATGATTTAATTAAGAGCATCCCTAAGGAAAAGGACTTGGGGTGATGGTGGATGAAGAATTGGACATGGCCTGGCCATGGGAATGAGCTGAGCAATAAGCCCCCATATCCGGGGCTTATCCCCACAGTGTGGGCAGCACATCCTGCCACTCTGCTGCTCTCTGATGGGACTGGACTTGGGCCTTCCGCTCTGACGACACAAAAAAGGGGAAGACACAAACCTGCTTGAGTGGATCAGTAAATGACCTTAGGAGATGATGAGGGTCAGGAGGAACTGGTGTCCAGCCAAGGTGAGAGCACCACCCAGGAGGTCCTTGTGTCCGAGCCACGAATAGACCTGAATTAGTGGATCCAGGCGTGTGTTCAAGCAACTGAAAAGTTACTGTGATGCACTGGAAGAACAAAGCGTACCAATGGGTACTGGAATTGCAGTAATATCTCCTAAAAGAGGTCTTGGAGCACTTTTTTCAACAACCCCAATAGCATCAACAATATTGCCTTAGTCTCAAAGAGTCTAGGGAGAAGAAAGGAGAACAAGTCCTCTGAGGTTATAATGCAGGAAAACTTTATTGAGGTAAAACAGCGAAAATTCTGGAGCAACCAGTGGAAGGGAGTTGGTCTGAGGTGCAAGTAGGGCAACCAACAGCTGGGGCCCCTTGCTTGCAGATGGTTTGGCCAGACCACCAAGGGTTTGTGCCCCACAGTGGGAGCAGCTTAGCAGAGATGCCCAAGGGTCCCTGGTTTGGGAGAAGGGGTTTGCAGCAGAGACAGCTGGACAGAACTGAAGGGGCCAAGCAGAGCAAGGAGTGGGAGAAGAGCAGGAGGCAGATGGGCCATATTTGCAGGCAGCCCAGGTTGTCCCCTTGGCTACTGCCTTGCTTGGTGCCCTGAGAGCAGGAGCTGGAAGCGCTCTGAGTCCATCTGAGAGCCTTGGATGAGAGAGGCATCCTCAATGCCTGAGATGTGTTCCAGGGAGCTGGGGGTTGGTGTCAGGGTTGATGCTAAGGGCCCTTAGCAGATGTAGCCACCCCTTCTGCCATAGCAGCCCAGGCCTCCCAGCCCGTAGCCAAATCCATGGCCATAGCCAAGGCCGTAGCCAAAGCCACCAAATCCACCAGAGATGGGCTGTCCCTGCACACTGAGTTCAGTGCCCACGGCAGCCGAGGAGGTGGATCCAACGGCGGTGTTCTGGGGGAAGGAGGTCATGATGGGTCCTGGCAGGGTGATCAGCACAGGGGCAGGGTCAATGATGACACGGGAATCCTGGCATTGCAGGGCACAGGGCTCGTTGCAGCTGTTGGCCAGCGGGGTGGGTCCACAGGGACGGCAGGATTCGTAACAGGCCATGGGTGTGGTGTGGTGAGTCCCTGGAAGAGAGGGGCTAAGACAGGGCAAGGGTGTGGGGGGATACAAGGGGCAGTGATGAAAGAGCGCGAGGGAGTGGGGCAGGTGTTGCAGGGCTGTGGGGAGGTGTGAGGGCTGCTGAGGCTCAGGCTGAGTGCCCTGGAAGAGAGGTCCAAGAGGGCAGGAAAAGGAGGGTCTGGGATTTTTAGGCTCACCTTTTTGTCGGAAGAGGAGAAGGAGAAGTGTGTGAGGGACAGAGGCTCTGGGTTGGGTTTTATGCTGGTCCTGGAGGGGTGGGACAGCCTTGTCCCATGGCCTTGGGGCATTTTTTAGGCAGCAGCTCTTACCTGGCTCAGCCTGGTGAGTCATAAGGTGGGTCTTGTTTTCCTTCCTGATGTTATGTGATTCCATGCCCTCCCCTTGAATTCGTGTCCATCTGACCTTGGCAGAAGCTTTTAATTGGGAACAATAGCAGCCAATGGATTGCTATTATTTTGTGTCAGGAATGTAGAAGATACAAAGAAACCCACAAGAATTTGGGTGTTTTCTCCTGTGTTCATTTCACCCCCAGCCATTCCTGCTGTCCACACCTGTTTCTATGCAGCCCAGGGTATGGTTGTTTTTCTGGGCTGAAAATTCGTATTGCTGTGTCATGTCTAGATTTTGGTCCATCAGAACCCGCAAATCCTTCTCTGTCAAACTGCTCTCAAGGAGTTCCTCTGCCAAGCTGTGCTCTTGTCTGGGATTGCCCCTATGCACATCCAGGACCTTGAACTTGGATTTGTTGAAGCTCATGAGGTTCTTATGTTCTCACCATTCCCAGTGTCCCTCCTGATGGGATCCCTCCATGTTCTTGTGTCAACTGCAACACTCAGCTTCCTGGCACCTGCAAACATGCTGAGAGTGGTCTTGATCTCACTGCTCATGTCCTTGATAAAGGTATTCAGGATCACCAGTCCAAGGCAGGGACCTGAAGGCCTCGTCACTGGCCTCCACCTGTACATAGACCAATTGACCAGCACTCTCTGGCTGTTCCTCCTCCACTGATTAGTCCACCCATCAAACCCAAGTGTCTGCAGTTTAGAGACAAGGGTGTCTTTTGGGACTCTGTTAAAGGCTTGACAGAAGTCCAGACTCATGACACCAGTTGCCCTTGCCTTGGCAACCAAAGCATTTGAGAAGGGAAGGTCCTTGTAGTCCTGCTGGAACTGAAGTGGATCATGAGGTGGGCATGTACCCTCCGGAATAGAAAGCTCCAGGAGTTACCAGGATACGTAATGTAGGAGAACAATTACAAGCAGGTTGAGGGAGTTGACCCTCCTGTCCCCCACCACTGTTGGTGCTCCAGAGTGGAACAAGGACATGGACATAGTTGACCAAGAGCAGTGCAGGGAGACCATGACAGTTACAGGACTGGGGTATCCTCAAAATGAGAAGCTGAAAGGGCTTGGACTTCTTGAAAGAGGAGGCAAAAATAGAAATGGGACATGTTGTCAATATGGCATGACCTCATTGACGACGTCCCAGTTCTCCTTAGCTTTGGTTGAATCTTCTATGTGTCTTGATAGATGTGATCAAAAAAACTCACACTGCTCTCTAATTCTTGCAATTATAAGCTGCTGCCAATGTCAAAAGGACATGAACAGAAGAGGAAGACACGACACTGCAGAGTATCAGGAAGGAAAACACTCCCGACCTCATGACTCACAAAGCTGGGCCAGGCAAGAGCTGCTGCCAGCAAAATGTCCCAAGGCCATGGGACAAGGATGTCCTGCCCTTCCAGAAGCAGCATAAAAGCCAGCCCAGAACCTCTGTCCCTCACACACTTCTCCTCACGCCTTCTCCTCCTGCTGACAACCAGGTGAGTCCCAAATCCCCAGACCCTCCTGTTCCTGCACCCCTGGCCTCTCTATTCCAGCACGCTTAGCACCAGCCTCAGCAGCCCTCACACCTCCCCACAGCCCCACAACAGCTTCGATGCTCCCTTGCCCTCTGACAACTTCACCACCCCGCACCCGCACAGCCCTACCCTTCCTCATCCCCTTCTCTTCCAGGACCCTCCACACCACAACCATGGCCTGCAACAACATCTGCCGTCCCTGTGGACCGACCCCGCTGGCCAACAGCTGCAATGAGCCCTGTGCCCTGCAATGCCAGAACTCCAGCGTCATCATCAACCCTTCCCCTGTGCAGGTCACCCTGCCAGGACCCATCATGACCTCCTTCCCCCAGAACACCGCCGTTGGATCCACCTCCTCGGCTGCCGTGGGCACTGAACTCAGTGTGCAGGGACAGCCCATCTCTGGTGGATTTGGTGGATTTGGTGGCTTTGGCTATGGCCGTGGATTTGGCTATGGGCTGGGAGGCCTGGGCTGCTATGGCAGAAGGGGTGGCTACATCTGCTAAGGGCCCTTGGCACCACCCCTGACACCAACCCCCAGCTCCCTGGAACACATCTCAAGCATTGAGGACACCTGTCTGGTCCAAGGCTCTCAGATGGACTCAGCGGTTCCAGCTCCTGCTCTCAGGGCACCAAGCAAGGCAGTAGCCAAGGGGTCAACCTGGGCTGCCCTGGAAACATGATCCATCTGCCTCCTTCTCTTCTCCCTGCCCTGCATCGTCCCTCTGGCTCCTTCTGCTGCAAACCCCTTCTCCCAAACCAGGGACACCTCCTCCCAGTACTGAACTGCTCCCACTGTGGGGCACAAACCCTTGGTGGTCTGGCCAAACCATCTGCAAGCAAGGGGCCCCAGCTGATGGTTGCCCTACTTGCACCTCAGACCAACTCCCTTCCACTGGTTGCTCCAGAATTTTCGCTGTTTTACCTCAATAAAGTTTTCCTGCATTATAACCTCAGAGGACTTGTTCTCCTTTCTTCTCCCTAGACTCTTTGAGACTAAGGCAATATTGTTGATGCTATTGGGGTTGTTGAAAAAAGTGCTCCAAGACCTCTTTTAGGAGATATCCTTGCAATTCCAGTACCCATTGGTACGCTTTGTTCTTCCAGTGCATCACGACAACTTTTCAGTTGCTTGAACTCACGCCTGGATCCACTAATTCAGGTCTATTTGTGGCTCTGACACAAGGTCCTCCTGGGTGGTGCTCTCACCTTGGCTGGACACCAGTTCCTCCTGACCCTCATCATCTCCTAAGGTCATTTACTGATCCACTCAAGCAGGTTTGTGTCTTCCCCTTTTTTGTGTCGTCAGAGCGGAAGGCCCAAGTCCAGTCCCATCAGAGAGCAGCAGAGTGGCAGGATGTGCTGCCCACACTGTGGGGATAAGCCCCGGATATGGGGGCTTATTGCTCAGCTCATTCCCATGGCCAGGCCATGTCCAATTCTTCATCCACCATCACCCCAAGTCCTTTTCCTTAGGGATGCTCTTAATTAAATCATCGCCCATCCATCATTCATTACTCTGATTGATCCAATGCTTCCTCTTGGCCCTGTTGACCTTCATGAGCTTCACACTAGCGCACCTCCCCAGGCTTTCCAGAACCCTCTGGATGCCATCCCTTGCCTCAGACCATGAACCACACCACTCACCTTGGTGTCATCCCCAGTCTTGCCAAGGGGGCACTCAAGCCCACTCTCCATGTCCCTGAGAAAGATGGGAAGTTATAATGGTTCCAGTATGAGTCTCTGTGGGTCACCATTCATCCCTATTCTCGACACAGGGCCATGGAGCCATTGATCACAAGTTTTGAATGAGACCATCCCGTCCATTCCTTATCCAGCCAGAGTTCCAACCATCAACTCCTCATCTCTCCAGGTTAGAGACAAGCATACTGTCTGGCACAGGAACAAAAGCTTTGCACAAGTCCAGGTACAGGCTATTGGTCTACCTTCCCTCATCCACCCATTCTGGAACCAGTTCCAACCCACTAAAGCTGTCGCCAGAGTCAGATGGACATGGCCTCAAGAGCAGAACCTGGAATTTCAGAGCTGTGGGAAGCAAAAGAGTCCCAACCTCATGACTCACCCGTCTGTACCAGGCACGAGCAGGTAACCTGAAAAATGTCCCAATGTCATGGGCAATGGCTGTCCCAAAGCTTCAGCCAGGGATAACCCTCAAGGCTGTTCTCTGGATCTTCCAAGCCAGAGTCTTGTTCTCCTTATTGCCAATAACCCAGAGATTAACAGAGCTCTCCAGTGCCACCAGAGAGGAGCAGAGAGGCAGAATCTGCTTGATGGGAGCAATCCCAAACATGCAGGATACAGACAGGAAGATGAGAGGATTGAGAGCAGTCCCAAGGAGGAGGACTTGGGGTGTTGGTGGATGAAGAATTGGACATTCCCCGGACATGTGCACTCACCGACCAGAAACTCCCTGTATCCTGGGCTCATTCCCACAGTGTGGGCAGCACAAGAGAGTGGGGGAATCTCACCCTCTCTTCTCCTGTACCAGAATTTGGTGTAGAACTCTGAGCCCCCAGTGACAAGGAAGACGTGGTACCTGCTTTGTTGGATCTGTAGATGGGCCAGGAAGATGATGAGGGACAGAAGCAACTGCTGCCCAGCACAAGTGAACACACCAGCCAGAGAGGCTTGAGCCAGAGGCAGGGATTGATCTGCCTTAGTGTAGGTCTGTGATCCAGTAGCTGATGGATTTGTGGGATGTACTGGAAGAGCAAGGTGTGCCAGTTGGTAGTAGAATGGGGAAATAAATCCTAAAGCATTTTTTAACCCACCCCAGTAGAGTGTGGAACCCCGGCTTTGTCCTGAGTGAGACTGGAAGTGTCTTGGGATCAGAAAGAAGAAGGACTCATCTTAAGATGTGATGCAAGAAAACTTTATTGAGGTGGAAGACTGAAAGGCCATAAGCAGCAAGTGGATGGGAGGCAAGCTGAAGTGCAAGTAGGGTGATCATCAGATGAGTCCTTTGCTTGGAGGAGGTTTTGCCAGATAATCAGTGCCTTTTTGTCCCACAGTGGGAGCAAGATTTCAGGCGTGGTGCTGAGGGCCCTTAGCAGATGTAGCCACCCCTTCTGCCATAGCAGCCCAGGCCTCCCAGCCCGTAGCCAAGGGCAAAGCCAAAGCCACCAGAGATGGGCTGTCCCTGGGCATTGAGTTCGCTACCAACGGCAGCCGAGGAGGTGGATCCGACGACGGTGTTCTGGGGGAAGGAGGTCATGATGGGTCCTGGCAGGGTGACCAGCACAGGGGCAGGGTCGATGATGACACGGGAATCCTGGCATTGCAGGGCACAGGGCTCGTTGCAGCTGTTGGCCAGCGGGGTGGGTCCGCAGGGACGGCAGAGGTTGTTGCAGGCCATGGGTGTGGTGTGGAGGGTCCCTGGAAGAGAGGGGAGTGAGGCAGGGCAGGGGTGTGGGTGTGCACGGTGTGGTGAGGCAGCATGGTGAGGGAGTGTGGAGGCTGTTGTGGGGCTGTGGGGTGGTGTGAGGGCTGCTGAGGCTGAGTTTTCTGGAAGAGAGAGGCCAGGGGTGCAGGAGCCTGAGGGTCAGGGGTTTGAGACTCACCTGGTTGTCAAGGTGTAGGAGCAGGAGGCGAAGGTGTGAGGACAAGCCTGTGTGGGAGAGAAGCTCTGGGCTGGCTTTTATGCTGGTCCTGGAGGGGTGGGACAGCCTTGTCCCATGGCCTTGGGGCATTTCTTAGGCAGCATCTCTTTGCTGGCCCAAAGTATGACTCTTGATGAGTCATGATGCGGGGAATGTTTTTCTTCCCACAACTCTGCAATTCGATGTCCAATTCTTGAATCAGCATCCATCTGACTTTGACTGTAGCTTTCAATCAGGATATTTGGGCTGATTTTATTATTAAATATCTTTATTTTAATAATTAAATATTTATAAATATCATATATTCATTATTAAATGTGCAAGGGAGTGCTGAATAAGCAACCAGAGCCTTGGAGAGCTGCAATGTCATCAGTGAGTTCATTTCGTGGCACTCGTGTGCTGTGGTTTGTGGCTGCTTTGTGCAGACTTGGACTCTTTCTGTGCCACTGGAAGTCCATCACTCATTGTGTTGGCCCCAGGAATGCTGAGGGAGCTGCTGGTGTCCTCCCTGGGGAGGTCACTCTGCAACAGCTTGGAAAGGTCCCCATGTCTGAAAGCCCTTCCTGACAGAGGAAAGAGAGCTCCTTTGTTTTGTGTCTTCAGTGTTATCAAGAAAGAGGATCTGGAAAAAGAGAGGCAGTTCAGGGCTGAAGTTGTTCCAGTGTCATGGTCTACTTGTCTTTTGAAATTTACACGACAATATACTCTGTCGTTAAAGTGTATTACTTGACCTCATTCAGAAATAAAATAAACAAGTGGGGCCCTGTCCCTTTTTTCCCAGGCTGGTCTGTGACTTCAATTCCTTTTTCCCACGTTCAAACCACAGGTTTTCATAGCTTATAATTTGTAAGTCTTAATGTGTTGTTCCTATGAGCAAAACCCAATAATTACTAACGGACAGCCAGCAAGCTCCTCTTTCCTTCTCTGTCATGGACCAATTATTCCTATGTGGAATTGTGCAATTTCATGTTCTGCTCCTGAGGGCATCTGACCTTGGTGGTAGGTTTTAGTTTCAAGAATTAGAGACCAAGGTGGTGGTGTTGATTGTGCGTGTCACGACACGTATACGATTCAACCACAGCTTAGGAGATTTGGGGTGTCATCACTGAGGTCATTCCATGGCATATTGACAACATGTCCCATTTATATTCCTCCCTCCTGCCTGAAGGAAATTCCAGCTCTCTCAGCTTCTCTTCATCTTAACTATATTCCACTCCCATCAGTGTCATGGTCTCCCTGCACTGCTCCTGGTCAACCATGTTCATGTCCTTGTTCCGTGAAGCTCCAACATTGGTGTGGAACAGGAGGGTCAACTCTTTCAACGTGATTGTATTTCCTTTCCTAATCCTGTCTTGGTAACTGCTGGAGCGTTTCACAGCCAAGGGTACATGGCCACCTCACAAGCCATTTATGAAATTTCAGCACAGAACACCGAACATATCCCAGGCTGCAGAGAAGTAGGTCTGGCCAGAAGGAATGTCTGGGGGTTAACTGAAGACATTACACAACACCCAGATTCCCGTAGGCTTTGTTTGCATCTTCTACATTCAAGACAAAACTAGTAGCAATCCATTAGCCTCTGTTTCTCCCAACTGAAATCTGTGGCCAAGGTCAAATGGGACTCAAGGGAAAGACACAGAATTGCAGAACATCAGGAAGGAAAACACTCCCCACCTCATGACTAACCAGGATGGGCCAGCAAAGAGCTGCTGCCTGAAAAATGCCCCAAGGCCATGGAACAAGGCTGTCCCACCCCTCCAGGACCAGCATAAAAGCCAGCCCACAGCCTCTCTCTCACACACTTCTCCTCACGCCTTCTCCTCCTGCTCCCACCCACAACCAGGTGAGTCTAAAGCCCCTGACCATCCTGCTCCTGCCACCTGGGCCCCTCTTCCAGCATGCTCGGCCCCAGCCTCAGCAGCCCTCACGCCTCCTCACAGCCCCACAATACC